TGAGCCAAGGACTTCTTGGCACAATTCAACAGTCTTTCCCATTCGGAAATACCCCTTCGATTTCCGGTGAGACCACATCACAAATTCCTCCCAACCAACTTTTACTTCGAAATGGAGAATCATGTCACATCATATGACTAAGGAATTCTTTGAAACCCAGTTATTCATATTTTAACTGCATAATTCTACAACCTCACTTCGACTTCCGGTGGGATCAACTTGCAAATTCCTTTCACTTGCCTCTTCAATCGGAATTTAGGATGCTTCAACAGCAAATTTGTGTGTTTTTCATTCATATATAGAGTTTCGAGACTACCATTAGAGCATTAATGTGAGATGTATTCAATCTATTTCATTAAGGTGATTGAGGACAGGTAGTTGTATTCTCAAGCAATCCGATGAGTGGGCAGCATATTTTTATTAATTTCATATAGCCTTACTTTCGAAGAAGGTATTCTCATCTACTCACAAGTGCAGTTCACTTTTGACTTTAACTAGGTTTTATCAACACCTGCAGCGAAAGATTTTATGGATATGGTCTACTGGTAATCTCGAAAACTTAATTACAAAATAAAAATATAGAAAATACAATTTTGCTTAATCGACAATTCCGCCACAGAATGTGGGAAATTCACACTTGCCCGGTAGCTCAAGGACACAGATGGTGGTTAACCCGTCGAGGCGAGGCGAGTTTGAAACTGCAGTCTATTCCAGCCTTGATGGAAATACTTTTTGGGGAAGCGAGGTTATGTGAAATTAATAGGAAAATTGAACAACCAGTACTTGATCACTTTAACCAAAATAGGATGAATGCATCACTTATACCAGATCTACCTACTTATAAAACGAGAGGTAAGTAATATAGACGAATGCCATTAGAAAATGTGATATGACGAAATGCCTGGTCTTGCTTGAAATTCGCATACATCATTCATCTGCTGGTAGCCTCAAAAAACCTACTTGTACAACAAAAAATTGTTGGTAAATGATTACTTCTGGTCGTGACGATGCCAAGGCACGAGAATAGAAAGTGGGAATGTGTGAAATTGTCACACGAGTAAGACAAAATTGATGAGAAAAAAGCGCTTTAGTCAGAAGTGTGTTTATTTCACACGTCATCTGTAACCACTTCACCTACCGGCAAGCGAATTGGGGAAGCATGAACCAATTAACCCAAGCTCGAAATGTCGCTGAATGTGGGTGGCATGAGCACTATTCGGCTTGGCGAACCCTGCCCACATGACGCATGATTTCTCCTTCCGACGCCAGATCAAAGGCGCCGGAAGGTGTGTCCGCGACGCTATGGTGCACAAAGTATCAGTCGCAACTGCACCAGTTGCTTCTCATGAAGAGTTGGGCACGACAGTAGCATATCTCTTATCTTAAATCCTGTTCGAGTGTAAGTGTGTGCTATGCAAAGGTTATAAGGTCAAACCGACCTGAAGACAATGACCGATTTCTCCTGACTAAATGTCAGTTGGAGTTATCGCGACATTCTGGCCGACGCTGTCCACGAGACAACTTCATTCGGGTCCGGTGAAAATGGGCTAAGTTTCCCTGCGTCATACGACGAACATTATCCGAGCAACACATCATTCTTACAATCATATTCAAGCGAAACAATCTCGAAAACTCAACGGCTTATCCACACATTCTGGACACATACCTTACACATAAAGTGATTTATGTATTTGAAGAATAGCTGCTCATAAGCTAGCATTGTTGTAGAGACTTTCATCTCGTATGACAAGATTTGATGAAGAGACCAGTTGGTTGGTCGATCATTGTCGTGTTGCTATGTCGTCGTGTTTGGCGCCACTACCAACTTCATGTTGTTGGGCACCATCAGAGCCGGATTTTGCTCGAGTTAACACTTAGTCAAGCAGACTGTCCGGCTCTATCAACTATGCTGAATGTGCAAATGGGTAGCAACGAAAAGTTATAGTAGAATATATGAAGACCAAAAAGTTGTGGCCTCTGGTATGGTCGCAGTCTCCTTTCGCTGCATAGAAGTGGGTTGACCTCGTTGTCGCAACTTGGTCTTGTTGTCAGGGCGACAATGTAGAACGCATCTAGTCCAAAGTCGTCTGCCATAGTAGTTGTCATGATTCCCAGCATCTGACAGTGGACGTTTGAGAATGTACCAAATCCACAGTCTGATGTTGGGAGTCATGACGACGTTCTACATAGTCGCCTTGGCAACAAGACCAAGTTGCGACAACGAGGTCAACGCACTTCAAGGAAAGTTATAGTGTCAAATCATTCTATATGATATAATTTGGTTTTTAGGTATGACGATAGAGCCGGACAATAATTTCGACTTGATGAAAACTCACGAATTCCAACGCTAATGATGCCCGTCATTCGACGAGAGACGATGCACTGCGTCGAGCTGAAGGTCGTAGCAGAGCCGAGCACGACTGGAGAACAACGATGAGACCAACCAACGAGTCTTTTCATCATGCAACCTCAGACGAAATGAAAGTGTCGACAACATTAACATGATTTGGTGAAATCAAATCGTACGTTTCTAGATTGACAAACGACTTCAACTGACCGAATCACTTTATATCCATCAAAGGGTATGCATACAGATTGAAGGGAGTCTCGTGTATTTGTTAGCTTGAATATGGTTGCAAGAATGGTCACATCTTGCCCGAGGGCTTGGCACATTTTCACCGGAGCCAAAGGAGACTTCTTCATTTGCAGATCATCGCCAGATCTTGCACAGCCTCGCAATGATTTGTCGAGACGACAGGCATTGATAGGCTCGAGGGGAAGTCTACCGAAGAGGATGTTCGTCGTCTCGGTTGCTGTGCAAGAGTCAGAAGAGGTGGCATGTTGCTGTGCCGAGTACCGATCACTTTTAAGGACTGCCATGCAATTGGTCGGTGCTCGAGAGTGGGACCTAACTCCGAGTCCGAGCGGGCAGAGCGCGGATTGGCTGGTTGTGAGGGCGAGTGGAGGAGGCGGGATCGAAAAACGGAGCAAGACGAAGCTCTGAGGAGAATGATGAGGTGTCCGAGATGAAAGTGGAAAGTTGGAGGGTCTCGTGTGAAATGCGGACAAAAATGTGGTACAAACGCTTGCATGACGTGGCCACGGCCCATGCTCACCTTGGCCAAATTGTGCGGTCCCGAGCCTTCGGTGAAGATGCCGAAGCGACGAGAGCCCGACTCGATCGCCCGACGAACCATGAAACGGTAACGCGGCTCGTAAATGTGCAATGGACACGGCATGCCGGGACAGGCGGTGGTGCAGAGCATCACGGGCAGCTCGACTTTCTGGTCGAATCCAGCTCTGATGGGGAAATGGGGAGGAAGAGGTCGAGAGGGCAGAGGAGGAAAAGGAGAAAACTGGGTTCGAGTAATGCAGGCATCAGGAAGAAGAGCTTTATAAACGAAGACTGACCTCGGTTACGCAACTTGGTAGCTCGTACTGCCTCCTCCAGTTCGTCTAGTGGGTACTTTTCCACACTCTTCTACGAAAGCGTTAATGAGCTAAAACTCGGAAAATAGACAAATGAAGTCCCTCCGTGTAGACCTTGATTTTTCTGAGCCCCTCAGTTAGCTTTCACCTTTTTTTGGTCTCCCTCTACTCATTTAGTATTAAGTAGTATACTTTCAGATTGTAAAGTTGTTTAAGACGGCATTCATCTTAATTCGTTTAAGGTGGGGTCATGAAACCTTGATGGCCAAAAGCAGAAGTTACTGTTTTGCTGTCCTAATTGATTTGAGCCATCACTTCGGGTTTCGTGCATAAGCGAACACAAATAAGCACATACAAATATAGAGACAAACACATTCACATTTATAGAAGTTGACATGTGACCTTAACTAACCAAATCACTTTATACTCGATCAAAGAGGCCAGATGTAGAGTATGTGTACCACTTTTTAGGAATTTGCTGGTGAGTTTACTTGACTAGTCAGCTTCAATTTGTTTGTGACGATGATACCTTGCTCTCATGATATTCGTCATATGACAAACGAAAGCTTAGCACGTTTTCATCTGAATCGAAGGAGATTGCCTCAGAAACAGCGTCAGCATGAATGTTCCAGTAAAGCCAATTGACAGTTGGTCAAGA